GTTAAATAAGAAGACTGGACATTTAACACGTCATATACCTATTTAATCATAGACCAAAGTTAAACCAATCTAATTAATTGAAAAGTCTTATAATTTCTTTTTTCAATGCGATAGTGACGTGAAATTTATTGATTTTATACTGCAATGGTGGTAATAAGTATGTGCTTTTTATACTATTCGAATTTGAAAAATAATAATTCAATATCTATATGTTATATTTATATATGTGCCTTATAATACACCATCTCATATACCTTTAAATGTGCTGAAAATTTAACATACCTATTATACCAACTATAAATTATAATGTCTATATTAATGGATGATAATATATGTATAAGATTTGCCAGCTTTTATAGTGGTTTCGGTATAATTAAAACCAAAGCGATATTTTAAAACAGACCAGAAAATTATATAAACAGATGTATTTTTAATTAATTCTTAAAAATTACTGTACAATGCAGTTTCATTGATGACGCGTTTTTTTTAAAGAGTATCTTATTGAACTACAGAAAATATTATTAAACGTGAATTAGCTATTGATAATAAGTAGGTACTTACATATTTTATTAAAGAGCGAACAACTTCTAGTAATCATAACATTATAGAATATTAACTACTAAATATTTTTTTTCACTATAAGTGCACTCAAAAATTTAATATTGCTCATTAGTCATTCGAAGGCACAATGTCGTACTTAAACAATGGAAGCACAAAAGACGGCCTAAGACGTTAAATACAAATTATAATTTTAAATCATGTTTTGTTACTTTTTTTTTTTTAGTAATGAGTTGTGATATGTATAAACAGCCCAGAGCAGGTTTATATAGTACATGATATAGTTAAACGAAAATGAAAAATGCATTATTTATAATCTCATAAGTCCACTGAGAAAATACGAATTTTTATTACCATTGAATGAACAATCAATGTAACATACAGGTGTAATCAGGCATTGCACATCAATATATATTATATACATTATACATTATACATTATACATATAGGCACCTATAGCTACGTCTTATATGTAGGTACCTGGTACTTATATAAATTAATATTTATATCACATTATGAAARTTCAAATATATGAAAACGCATTGTATAAAAATATATTACGTATAAGGCAATTTTGATAACTTATATGTTGAGATTTAATGCAATTGAATAATTTCGGTTTATTATAAYATAAATAATGTATCGTGTWACTATCTGGGCCAGATTATCACCATCCATAATTATTGATGGACAGTGGTATTACTCTTATCTGTATTTTCCCTTTAGATGTAGGTTATTATTAAATCAGAGGACTTATTGTTGCTCTAAAAAAKCACTAAATCTGCTAACACTTAYAATATGCACCAAACATTTTTTTTTCTAAAGATTTAATTTGAAAATKTTAATAGTTTAAAAAATACCTAAAATAAGAATTATAATAACCTACATAATTTAATTATATGCCATACTAGGTATGACCATATGAATAAAAAAAGTTTAGTCTAAGTGAAACTTTTACTTGTTCAATAACTACAAAATTCAAACAAATTCCTAACAGTACAAAAGTTACAACGAATGTGAATTTGGAATATGTTGGGTATTGCTGTGTATCGGTCGACGGTTATATTTTATGCCGTGATGATTATTTATCTATAATTTATACAATTAAATAACAGAAAATTAATCTAATAGGCCAACCCAACCAAATCTAACCAAATGCTTGTAAAAAATTCGTACATCTGCGAACAGCCATCAACCTTAAAATGATAAAAATGTAAAATAAGTTTAACTCCGAGAAAATTTATATGAAAACATTGATTGTAATTATTAGTATTTAGAAATAACCTACCAAAACTTATTTTTGTATGATTTTTTTTTAGTATTACCAACTTATATCTTATAATTACCTAATAAATTTAAATATTTATCAACAAGTTTAATATGAAAGAAATGTAGGTATCCTAAAAGCAAAAAAAGAACTCTTAATATGCATTTATATTACGCAAAACAAAATTACAAAACTAGCTTTGTCTTAAGCACATAAACCGTATTTTTTTCTTACTCTACTATTTTTGAGATTGTATAAAACGATACGAGAATACTATAAGTCCTCTACCATARTTATTATTAAAAGTCTAACGGTGYATATATCATAATATTATACAACGATACGGTTTTCTTTCAAGCGATGTAATTTTGTTAAATTAATTCGATTATTAATTTTAATTTATTTGTTTTACATACAAGCACAAAATATATGGGATTAATAAATTACAATACTTTTCTACATTTATTATCTTTACCTATCTTAAGGTTTGCTGCTTATTACTCGTATTAGATTGTAGTATGTAGATTGTAGATGTATGCATAATATAATATAATATAATATAATATAATATAATATAATATAGTTGTCACGCCGCCGTGACAATACTGACATAGGTACAAATTAACCATTAGATATAATAAATCAAAATGAAAAAAATATATTGACACCACCAATGTACATAGCACGTGACATATTATACCACTTGTACCACTACTAGACCCGGTTTAAAAATATGACCTGCCAATTTTAGCCTCAWAATATCGTTGGCATTTTTATGACAGCTGTTAACTGATACACATATTTTAGTAATGATAACTGATCTGCAATGAGTTCCAAGTAAAAGAGTATTGGCCCAAATATTATTGAATCATGAATGAATAAACAAACGATTAAAAAAAAAAAAAAAACCGAAGTTTTAAGAAACATGAATGGAATTAAATAGATACTATACATAAAATATATGCTTTTACGAGTAATGTTGAAACGTGTTTTTATTATAATATCATAACATAATCAATCAAAATAATCTCCAATGATGAATGAAAAATTCCATTTTGGTCAAATTTAAGATTTTAGTATCGATTGAAGATGGATGGATTTGCATAATAAAAATTAAGGTTTTTCTCATTAGAAATCCATATAAATACATTAGAAAATAATTAAGTAGATATAAATGTGCCTACATAAATTAATTAAGTAATTAAGATAAGATAAAACAAATAGGACAAAATAAATGCCAAATGGACAGTACTCTATGTCTAGATACACCGAATACGTAGCACAAAAAGCAGTAGGTATATGATGTGGGAGTTACCACTTATCTTCTTGGTAACTGTTATGTATTTATTTTTTATACAGCAGTATGTCCAATAAAATTCATATTTTTAGTTTACATTTAATATTGAAAAGACGAAAGTGTCATCGATGGATGGCTTCTTCATCTAAAATTTTCAATTTTGCTTTTGTCAATTAGCTCATACTCATATTATAGTGTCGATTGTGTGTAGATTGTGTATATGTTACTGTGAATGCCCGCAATTGGTGAATGCTGACAGTCACCTGCATGGTGAATGTCAACATACACCCTAATGAATTGGTGAATGTTGAAAAATTAAAACAATACAGACATTTACTAGTGGCAGTGGCGGTTATAAGGGGGGGCGATAGGTGGATCGCCCCCCCTGGTCCGTGTTTTTTTATAATAAATTATTATTGAAATTTTAGAATAAATTATTTGAAAGAAGTATTAATCATGGTACTATTTTTTTGTGTTTCTAATTTATAGAAATAGTATCAGCAATTTGTAAAGTTGTCTTGCGCAATATAATACGGTATATTTTTAAATAATTGTAGTACATTTTATTAATTTTTGTTATTATAGTATATGTACGTACTACCTACGTAATATGTTATTCGGAAAGTTGCGTGTCATTGTTTATATATGTATATATGGCTGTATATATGGCTGCTAGGAATAATCTCAATAATGTAATTTTTGATTTCCCATTCTGATATTACGATAATTTTAAGAKGACGCTACACCCGTATGTGTTGTCTCCGTCTTACAAGTGCGTAACATTGCAAAAACTGTTTCGCGCGGGAAAGAACCGAGAAAGATACAGTTATAACTAAGAAACGATATGTTCACCAGTCACCACATAAAAAGGAGAATTTTGACTGTGCAATATCGTTTTTATTTTTTCGATATCATTTATACAAAAAAAAATTGTTATTGTTTTATAATATATTAGTTTTGTGTTTTTTAAGCATGAATAACTTTTTTGTAGTTCGGATATCAAAAAAATAAAAACGATATTGCACAGACACAATCCTCCTTTTTATGTGGTGAAAATTTCGTTTCTTAGTTATAAGTTATAACTATATCTTTCTCGGTTCTTTCCCGCGCGAAACAGTTTTTGCTATGTTACGCACTTGTAAGACGGAGACAACACATGCTGGTGTAGCGTCCTTTTAATATAAATCTAAAAATATAATAAACGCTATATTATACTCATAAACTCACATATATTATTACACGTTTTGCTAAACAAAAAAAAGACATAATATGCTTGTATTGTAGATTTTTATTATTAAAATGGTTGGTTAACTGTGCATCTGTGACTATACTTTTTTTTATTTAATTGTAAGTACAAGGTGAACCTATTTTGAATTATTTCAAAATATTGGGGAAAAATTCCAACGACTCATTATTGTCCTATGATTTTTATAATTTCTGCCCCCCCCCCTTAAAAGTCAGTTATAACCGCCACTGACTAGTGGATGTTGACATTTACGTTAGGATTTTGGTCAATGTTGACATACACAACAAGATTTTGGTTAATGTTGACATATATTATATCAATTAAATCAAAAAAGTAAATATAAATAATTAAAAATTATTTATTACAGCATGGCAAACTGTTATCACAGAATAGAATAATGTTGTCATGACATTGTGTACTAAATAAAATGCCAACATTTTTACATTTACACTTTTTTGTAGTACACTTTGTTTTGCAGTTACATCTTATATAGCCTTGTCCACCGATCAACGAATTTGATGTAGAAACTTCATCAGTGATTGATATTAAATTTTCTTTACAGACTGAAAACTGCTTTCTGGTGTATAATCGATTTATAACACCGTTTTTAGTAGCTAATTTATAATTATCATTTATCTGTTATCATTATCTACTATATCTAATACTACAGCTAAAATATTTTGAGGATCCATTTTACTACGATCAACATCTAGAACTCGAATACGGACAGTTTCTCCAACTTTAGYCGGCTGAAACTTTTGTTTTGAAGTTCGCAACAGTTTTACAGCTTGTACTTGAAGATTGGTGATTGCTACTTCTCTATTCAAAATTATTTTTTCTTTTCATCTAGAAATTGATTTATCTACAAATTAAGTGATTTGAATAAATTAAGTTTTGTCTATTAGTTTATCTATTATTAATTAATACGTACTTGATATTTTTTTTCGTGTTGTTCGTCATCACTCGACTCTTTCAGACTTCCTCGATCAATGTTTTCAGAATCTGTTAATCATTTTCAAATATTTATTACTATTTATTTATTTATTTATTTTTGATGATTTTTTTATACTTGATACCTGTATTATTATTTTCATGTTGGTCAGCATCATTCGACTCTTGATTTTCTAAATCTCTTTTTTCAGAATCTGTTAATCAATTTCAAGTATTTAATATTATTTATTTATTTCATCAACTATATATTATTATTAYAGGTACGTACTCATATTTTTGATTATTTTTTCCAAATGCTCTTCTGATTCAAGTTCATGAACTTTGTCTCGAGGAAGTGAAGACGAAAACAGACCCATTTTAGCTTTTGTGCCAAACATAGCTTCATACGGACTTTGCTTTATACCTTCGTGGTATGCTGTATTTTTTGTAAATTGAACAAAATATAGACCATCCACCCATTTATTCGTATTATTTTCGTACATCCATTCTCTTAATAGGTTTTGAATATCTTGATTCGCTCTCTCTATTGAACCTYGTGTTTGGCTATGGCGTGGTTTGCCATGCACTATTTTTACACCATCCCACATTAAACACAATTCTGTGATTATTTTATTCATAAACTCCCTACCGTTATCAGAATGCAAAATATTTGGTGCCCCGAAAGTTAGATAATCTTGATAATTTAAAATAAATTTATATTCTCCATCTTTACATGTTTGCATATATCAACAAGATCTATTTGGCATCGGGAATTCAGCTCTGAACTTATTATAGGCTTTACAACAATACCTTTTCTAGGCGATTTTTGTTTTGTTTGACATTGAATGCACAAACTCAAATACAGCATAACAATTTCATATGTAATATTTTTGTACTTACATTGCAATTCTTGAATCATCCGAGTACGTCCACCGTGACYAGTTTRAATGTGTGTTTGTTGAATAATATCAAATAATTCTTCATTTTTTACATAATATTTTATATTTGTTTCTCCTGGTTTTAAAGTAACTATAAGTTTAGTACTCCCGAGTATATTCAAAACATCATACCACTTTAATCGTCGATAGTCATTACGTTGTTTATTAGATTTATCATTCGAATTGTTCACTTCACTAATTAAAAATGTACCTATATTTTTCAGCTGATAGAAAAAAAGAATTATCAATTATTTTTTTAGATATTAAATCATTAAGTTTATTATAAAATAATTCGCGCATATTTTCCATTTAAAAAAAAAAATCGCTTAGAATGTTATTTAAAATAAAAATATATAACTAGGTACGTTGAATAACAATACCACACTAAATTATAGTATGGCAGCATAATATGGAGGTTATCCAGGTATAATAAGAGTAGTTGGGTAAGGCAATAAAACACTTTATCGAAATTATTAACTTGTACAATAATACTTTATACTACATAGGTACTAGATAGTATGTATCAAAACATTTTATCAAAATTATCAATTTGTACAATAACTTATACAGCATAGGTACTAGATAGTATAAGATACTGTTTTATAATTGTGACCCTTCCGTTACTCCTAAATTAGATTAAATAATAACGGCATTACCAACATTCACCAATATCGTTATATAAATGTCGACATTCACTAATGAATGTTTACTAAGACCACAAATTTAATCAATAAGTCAACATTTACCAATGACTTTGGTGTACGACGACATTAACCGGTGACTGTCGTCTGTCAGCATTCACCAACTGCGGTCATTCACAGTAACATATATATTATTAATAAAGAAAAAAAAACATTTAATATTGGTTCCTGACTATAATTAATATATTTTATTCTATATTACTGGTGACTTGATTAAGAATAATATTATCTTAATTTCATAAAAAATTTAATTTACCTGTACTCTGTTTTTGWAAATATTTATTACGTTTGACTGAATATAATATTAAAATGTACATGTTATTACAACTGATTTGAGTAGCTAAAATTCTATAACTCATATTCTAATATACATCACTTTTATGAACACATTTACACGCCAATGATTTTTAGCAAGCATTTACGGGCATTTGGTAGTAATAGAAAATATAAGTGTAAATACTTACCGTTTTTCATCATCTGATTCATATAAGCCATAATAATAAGCTATGAAAATATTTTTTTTGTGTTRAAAAATGTCTTGTAAAACATAATGCACCATAATTTTAATGTTCAAAAATTATTATTTTTACTCAATGGACTAACTTAGTGTTAAAACTGTTTTCTTTTTCCTCATGTTCTASTGAATTCGGGATTTAGATAAAAGGCATAAACGTTCATATTTTGTGAACGAAAAATGAACGTCACTCACCATATTATATCAAATGTATACCTAGAAATTAAACATGAATAAAATTCATATTTCGGAGGAACTTGAACGATTTTTACTGGGAATTCATTTTATTTTATATTATATTAATTAAATTGTTTAACTTAGATTTGATTATGCTAACTTTGGTACGGTAGTTTGGTACTCSAATTTCATATTCTTGCAGTCATTATATTGGATTTAATTTTATTATTATATAGAAAATCTTAAATCAGATTAGATGTGCCTGACCTTTTATCTCAAATTTTATTTAAATTTCCCTCTCACAATATTCGTAATCAGTAATCAGAGAACACTAATCACATTCCTTTTTATATTCCCACTCATTCTAATTCCTTCAGCCACAACCACCTCACGCACGGAATGCTTCGGTCTGCCAATTCAGTTAATCTTCATTCAATTTGATTTTAGTTTATATTTAATAATTATGACTAAATAAACTTACCTTATCAGCACATTAAAAAAATAACTGTTTTAAAAAATTATTTACAACTCACTCGGCGTTTTATTTAAAGATTTTTATAATAATTATTTAATTGAGCGTGTTCATTCTTTATTATTATTCATAAAGATATTTACAATCTGTTAATTAAAACAATAGGYAAATTTGGTACATGGTAAATAATAAAAGTTTCACATCATGAATAATTTGTAGAGGAAGCTGTTCGCTAAGCTGAGGCACTAAATATGTATAATAATGTTATGTAATAAAAACAAAAATAAAATAACTAATAAATAATAGTTATTGATAGCTACCAAATATTTTATTTTAATATTTTGTGTCCATAAACTAATTATTTGTTCACCGTGTCATATACTGGAATACATTGCAATGATAATGGCTTATACGTTCGGATCAACACACTATATATATATGTAATAAATAGAGTAGAACTTGAACGTTTTATATGATATCATTGCTTTTACCCTTGTATATATATACCAACTTGGATAACTATACGTTTTTGTTACAGTTGATGAAAAACGTATAGATTAATAAGATGTTAGTAAAAATAAATTCTTGGTAAAAAATGTTTCACAAATTTGTTTTAGATTATTTTATACAGCTGTATGTGATAATATAAGTGTAGTAGAGAGACTTCGACCTTCCGGGGGGTAGCTTGATAACGTGCTGAGGGCTTAAATCAATATCCACCTAACTTCACAGAAAAAAAAATAAACAATTAAATAACTTTCTGTTGGAAAAAAACATTTTTATATGAATAGGCACTATATATATATATATTGAATTATTGCCATTAAATAAGTGTAGGCACGAAGTGGAAAATCAACAGCAGGATTACACAGCTGGTTCCAGACTTCAGATTACTCAATATGACAATATATAATAGCAATACCTACAGATTCGGGATATAATTTTTCAAACAAGACACACCACACACGGATACTCTTATGATTTAATCCCTGTTGAATGTCCCCTAACAACACAATAACGACCTTTTCGAGAAGGTAAATGACATTTTCTAGTCTTGGTCGATTGAAAGCGGAAGCGAATAATATATTTCTGACAATCTCAAGACTACCTGTAGAGTTACCGATATTCATGTTTGGTCATTTAATATAAAACCCCCATTGGGACTCATACAAATATTGTACATTTATAACATGTTATCGTAATTTCTACCTACCGCATGATCTATTTTTTGCTAACAATATAGTTAAAGAAGAAAAAGATATACATTTCCAGACTTCCAGTAGTGTTCGCAATTGTTCGATAAGCTTCCTATAAAAAGGTATATCATTGTGATCAAATGTGTTATTGTCATTTGATCATTAATCATTCAATGAATAAGTATATTCTGTATATTCAAGTAACAAGTTATATAATGGTATATATATTTTGCTAAAAATGTAGTTTTATTATATTTTTTTCATTTTACTGAAWARGSMWKGGKKGKTTKRAAWTTWWKRARTGTAATATTTTTAAACAAGTACAAAATGTAGACTATTGGTTTAAGCTTTTATTATTGTAACAACCTTTTGACTTTCCAGTGTGTTTTATACATAATTATTTAAATTTACAAAAAHCACTTTGAAATTACATTTTTAATATTACATATTCTGTTTAACATGTGTATGTAATTCCAAATCAAAGTTATAATTAGGTATATAAATATACAATATATAGGTACGTATGTTTTGTACATTTGGATAAATATGCAAACACTTACATAGAATTTTATAATCATAATATGACATACAATATATTTAGTTCATTCATTAATACAAAGTTAAAATCTCTMGAGTTTTGTATGATTGAACAACCCTATCACTCGACCTCAAATAGGATGTAATTGAGTGAACAAGAGTTGTTATTATATACCTACCTATAAACCTATAAATACTAATATAAAATAAAATATTAATGCAATTTTTAATTTTCATTAATAATACTATGTAAAAATTTTTTTTTTATGAGTAAGACATAACTATGCAATCGAAACTAATATAATAGGTATGCTTTATATAATACTTCCCAAAGTTTAAGTTTATGGAAGCTTAWGTACAATATTCCAATAAATAAGATAAATTATGATTTTTACACTCTACGCATTGTATCCAGTACATCTGGAGGTGTATCATACTATACATTTATATTTGACTAAAGATATTTTTTTAAAGCACTTATTTATATAGGTATACCACCTGTGTTAAATTTGCATAACTATATAGATACTGTACCTACACATCACGACGTCGAGTCATTCAGTTGCTTGAAAAAAGTTTCCAAAAACAAAATTCGTAACAAAAGAAAAGCACACTTTGCAAAATCAATAAATCCTTATCAGCTCTCATCTCACTGAAAAGCTTAAATATTATATAGTTTAATGTTCATATAATTTGATTATTTTTYAAGTAGGTAGTTAGTAATTATGTTAATTGAAAAGAATTGGTTCAAGTAGTAAGGAGATAATATTTTGTAACTTCCAAGTTAAATATGAAATACCTTTCATATCTTTGTCATATATATATATATATATATTATTGCATATTCTGCCAAATTAATATAGATCAATAGATCCAATATAGGAATACAAAAATATACTTCCTTATTCAGTTTACAACGTAGTTTTGATGAAATCGCGCCTTATAAAATCGAGTAAAAGTTGTATTTGTATTTTGACTCTTTAAGCTTTAATTCAAAAAATTTGAATTTCTTAAAAATTTATTGGAAGCAGTTAAAGTAGTACCTTAAAACATGGTGGCAACTGTTCGTGATTGGCAGCGGCCGTCACGATGCTCTGGGTGACGTGTTCGTGTCCGTGTCACGCCTCCYGTTTTACTCGCATGATTCTTGACTCGCATCGTTGATCGCTCGTTTATATTATTATACTAACATACTGTATCACGTCACA